TGGTCATGGGAATAGCTGGTTGTTTTTTTTTTCATCGATTGACCTAGATGTCGGTAAACAAATTTTATTTATGACCGCAAAAATATTTTTGCAATTTTATATTTTCAAAACCAAATATTTACAAAAGAAGTGATTCTGATTTCTAGGAGATAAAAATGTCCCTTACTTTACATGTTTCGAAAAATACCTTCAAAATACATTAGATAAAAAAACCCACTAAATCTAGGCTAAAAATTACAGAATAAATCCAGCCAAGTTTAGCTCTAAATTTGAAATTATGTGTGTCGTAAAGTAGTTTAACTTAACTTTACGTCTAACTTTAACGACAAAGAATTTTAACCCTTGAATATCCCATTAGAACTTGTACCTACCTGGACAATAAAAATTTGGTTTTACTCTGCAGATATAAATTCGCTTCGGGTGCAAGGTAGAAGTTCCAGACGCCTTTTTAACTTTTACAAGCGTTTTTAATAATGTGCGGGACATGTAAATTCGGCTAAGTTTTCCAATAAAAGTTGCAACGCTTTCCGAGTGCTCCGCCAAGCGTTTCGAGCTGCAACATTGCGCCTTGCACGCTTAACTATTCAGGGTCTTGAAATACTTTGAAATTGTTTATTTCATTCACTACGTCTGACAAATGACTTTATTTTATTTACAGTTTACTGACCTCAGTCGATGCAGTATGTCATGTTTTTATAATGCTGTTACTGTATATATTTATTAAATATATTATTTAAATCATTTGAATTTTGGTTATTTTTAATAAAACCGTCATATAGGTACATCAAAACCACACATAGAACAACATATGTTTCAACAGATATCCTGAGATATTCGAGGTTATAATTTCCAATGTAACGACGTCATTTCAGAACTATCTTCTTTATGACTCGCTTCAGGAAAAGCATTTATTTTATGAAATTAAATCCTCATTAACATTTCTTGCAAACGAAATGTATGTCAGTTTGTGACTATGAAGTATGAACCATGTGAAATTCAAGTAAACTGTAAGTTGTATAATGTTCAAAGGAAGTTACGGATGAAGTTGAATGTTTTAACTACAAAATTTCACGTGTACACGAGTTCTGTTAAAACTCCACAGCGAGGACGTGTTATCAATGCCAAATAAACTGTACAGCAACATGAATAGAATAACAAAAACATTTTGCACGACACGTTTATGTACATATGGCTGACACTTATCTTGAGATTCTACAAAGGTTAAAGATATTTTTTACAAACAGATATTTTTGGGTATTTTAAAGAAAAATAAAAGCATTCATGATTATAGTGTATTTTAATTAGAAGTTAACAGGCATACGAGTACTTATCATAATAATGTAATGAAGATTAGTTTGTTTTTTAAAATATATTTTACTACAATATCATGTCGTTCACAGTAAGTAATCTTCAAAATAATAAAAACGTGTAGTATCCAAAAACCTTAGTTTCACTCTAATAAACACTAAGGAAAATCTCAGATTTGGCTTTATACATATGTGTGTTAATAATTACATAAAATAATATTTAAATTATGGACATGGAAATGAAACAAATATTTTTCGGATTATATTAAGCGTTTTTTTAAACACTATACTCTAACTACATACTAAAACTATACTAAGCGTGATCACTATTGCCGAAAAGTCACCGAATCGTCTGGAGTATGTAGTGTTAAAAAAAATTACGCGTAGTATAATCCGAAAAACATAACTTTTATTTAAATGAATACTCGTTACAGTCTTAGATCTCATTACGGACATGGAAGTAGCATAGCCTAGAAGAGACCGCTGAAAAAGGGAGACAGTAACAAATAACTCCAGAACATTATCGCGGTCTGAAGCTAAGTCATTTACGAAATATATGGACAATTAAATACATAACATGAATTAATAATGTGTGTTCTTACCAAATAAGGGAACGAAAGGAAAGGCTCCCCTAGACAGACTCTCATAGAAAATTTATATATTTTTTTGAAGTGCTGCGTTTTACCTTTGTCTTTTTGATTTTAAAATACTAAGTAAATTCAAACTCATGAAAGGCCTTTTGCCAATGAACAAAGAAATTGTAATTAAGGACCGATTTGCATAAGATTTGAGTTGACTAATTGATGGAATTTACGAATGAAAGGAGCGTTTGTTGAGATTTAGCGCCTATTTAAACATTGCGACTGGAACATTCATTCAAATCAAATTATTTAATTAAGAAAAAAATATTATGCGTATGGTCAGGAATAAACGTAAATTTAAATAGTAATTATATCTTATTTGTCAAGTATTAAAGAATTTTATGTCTGTACTGTATTGTTTTAAATTAAATTTATATTTTTTTTATTATTTTTGTAGATCCCAAAAATTTAAAAAGCTTCCAATATGTCATAATTTTTAGGAGACGATGATCTTCTCATTGACCGACAACATAAATTGTACCGAAATCCGTTGACTGCTAATTACTTATTCCATGTATTTACCGGAGAAAGCTCTAGAGAACAATTCGATCTTCTATAAAATCTGACTCAATAGGCTATTGGTAAGTTTTCTAGCTACGACATAGCCCTCGACTAATATCTTAAAGTTGTGACTTACTAATAGACCGGCCAACAAAAAAAAACTTAAGGTCTAACTTCTTGGGAAATCTTTTTCGTCTACAAATTAACAAACTGCTATTCCTTGATATTTTATTAATACAGGTAAAAAGACCATGTCGGAGTGGTATCAATATATTTTTCGGATCAGCAAAGATCCAATAAACTAAATTTAGAAGAGAGTGTTAATTTCATACATTAGACAATCAAGATAGAACAATACCCAACTTATGAAAATAACGAAACTCAAGAGTATCATTCACCACCAAAAGGAGTCTACTTTCTACTATCAGACTTATCCATTCATGTGTGCATGTCAAAATATTAGCAAACCTTTAAAGACGTTGCTATCAACAGGACAAAGCTAACTAATTCCTTCATACTCAAAAGCACATATAAGATTGGAACAGTGAGCGTGCTTGTTTGTTTTATTTTACTTAGGTATGCATTATTTTATTTTTTTCAAGGCAAGAGTGGATATACTTTTTCTAGGATGGTTCATCGAAGCCCTGCTGCTCTAATTCTGCCTACTATTGATTGGCATGAAAGTCAATTAAAAATTAAAATTGATAATATTATACCTTATCTCATCTTTCCATGAACCCATGGCTGAATGGATACAAAATTCTTTGAGACGTTTCAATAACCTTCTTGTGCTAGCTTCATTGAGATGCATCTAATTGATAAATCATAAACATGAAGTTAAGGTAGGTTGCTATATTTGACAGGGCAATTAACTAAGATGGTAAGTTGCGAAGTTAATAACTTTGCTCCAGGTTAGTGCTGTAGTTTGCACTTTCAAACTTTGTCGTCTCACACACGCGTATTTCAGTGCCGGCGCAACATTATTAGGTTTCACGGGTGCTTCGTACTATATCAAATAACCATAAAATCCTGTATAACCAACTATAAATTTGTTGATTTACTTTATTTCTCTTATTTTATTAACGATTCAGCTCCTTAACATAAATTTTTAAGCTTACTTTTCTTTCGATGGTATTTACAATTATAGAATAACTCCTATCAATGGATAATTAGTATTGAACTAATATTGTAAAAATTTATAATATAATTTAGGCTTGACTTTACACTGAGTTTGTGGAATTTATTATGTTTTTGAATAATCACAAATGCTATTGAAATTAAAAATAAAGAAAACGAAAATACGCCACTTTCAATGATTAATTATCTTATAATTGTAGATTTGAGTACATTTTACTATGTAAATGTTCTTTGTATGATAAACCTATAAATAGATTCAATAGTATTATTATTAAAACATTGAGTAAATAAAATATTAAAGATTATTTTATTGGTAATCCTTAACTACCCATCGCTTGACATGGGTTGACTTGCAGCTGTTTGAATTCCGTATAATTTAAATTTGCCTTAGCAAAACAAAGTTTTTTGCTACAAAAACAGTATTGTTTTCGTTTTGTAATATTGTTTTCTTATTCATACTTATATTATGAAATAAAATTTCTTAAAAAATAATTTTGTTGTGGCATTATCTTATTGCAATAAAACACTGGTAGCAAGAGAAATGTAAAATAAAGATTAATTAAATAAGATCCAAAATATATAGACTCTTTTTGTATTAATTTTTGGTAACCCATAGAAAAGATGCATGTAGAGGTGTGTATATGTTCATAGCGTTTATTTTAGTGAAGAGACAAAAATGATCAGCCAGGGAACTACTTTGTCATGCGACGCAACCAACACTTCTGACTTGACTCCACCTCGTTTTGTTTGTCACCAGCTCGCTCACTGTTGCGAAAATAATTGGAATGAAATTTCCCTTACGAAAATAATTACATTAATAATAATCTATTGAAAAGTTTCATATTTTTTTTACATTTAAACAGACAAAACTGTCAGCTTTTAGTTTCTACTACAAAACTGAGAAAAAACGTTTAAATAGTTTCTCTGAACTGTCAGAGTCCATATTCGATGTGTCTCGCGTCATATTCGCGAGGACAGACATAAAAACCATAGGACGTGTATATGAAGAAAGGGGATTTACCCTCGTCAAGCGGACGACGGGAAGCGTAATAACTGAGAGAACCGAGATAAAAGCAGTACACGATGAACTCTTGATATGTTAGTTAGCTACATTTTCGGGGCAAACAATACTCTTGGGTTATAAATTATATTCCACTTACTCGTTATGTCTTATATGAATGTGTGAGTGTTTTCGTATTTTTATCGTCAACACTGGCCACTTTATTTGTTATCATGAAATTGTGACGTCAATATTTAATCTTCTCAGACCGTAGAATGTTTTTGATATGCTCTTTGACAACAAATCACAACTTGATAAAAATATAACAATTACAATGTATGCATATGTATATGCATATTATAATAATTCTAGTTGAAATGAAGCAAGAGAAAAAAATAACAAAACTATGGTAACATGCTACTGATACTTATTTTGGCGTCTTTATTGATAAGCTGTATTGATTCCTATCCATTCCTACCTTCAACGCCTAAACCGATTATATTTAAACCAACAAGAAATCAAATTAAATATATAAAATGCAAAGGCAATTTGTTCAGAAGAAAAAAATGCCTCAAAGAGTTTACACCTCTCTGCGGTATAGATTCTTATGAAGATGAACTATTTGGATGCTTGGATTACAAAACGGTCGAAAATAAGGAACTACTTTTAAATGAGGATGTTACCCAATGGAAACAATCAAAGAGGACATCTGAACGCTGGACAATACGTTGCAACGATTATGCTAGATGTCGTATGGTATCAGGTACTGCTAAAGCAGTTGTAATAGCATTGAAAAAAAAGTATGCCCCATAGAGAAAATACAACGCCCTATATTAATATAATATTAATTAATATTAATTAATTAAGGAATAAAATATTTCCTCGTTCAAACAATAAATTGTAAGAAATCAATATTTCTCATTTCCACGTTATGTATTATGTTGGTATACAATGTACAATACATATAATATATTATAGCAACATGACAATGTTATGATTTTGATTTGGATAGATGTTTTAACCCAGTTTTGAAAGATATGGAAAATATAAATTATTAACTTCTTTACATTCCTATAAATTTTCAAGAATATATTCAAAATCAAAATATTACTTTTTTTAAAGTCACCCAAACATAAATAATTTATTCTAATAGCTATTTTCAGTCAGTGGTGGCTCAGTGGTTAAAGGGCCCGCCTCTCGTAGCCGAGGGCGCGGGTTCGATCCTGGCCCGGGCAAGTACCAATGTGATTTTTCCGAATCATATGTACTTTCTAAGAGTATTTAGACATCACTGATAATTGTTGATTCCCAAAAGTGGGTTGATGTCAGGCAGGCGGGCCGGTCGTAAAAACAAATAGCCAAAAACTATTCACAACATGTAAGGCAGACCCTGGCTATAGCTGGGAAAATGCCAGGTAGAAGAAGAAGCTATTTTCAAGCACTTTTAAAAGGTTTTTATTTTGCACTTGTTCTGTATTTTTTTTTAATATATTAAAGGTGGAAATCGAGTAGACGGCCTACTTGATGGAAGAAAGTCAACGTGGCCTATGAAGATCTGCAACATAAAGGATGTTGTGGATGCATTGCCAACTTTGATTGTAGAAGAGTTAAAGGAATGATTGGGAAAACGGAAAGGGCGAGAAAGGATGGGAAAGGAGAAAGCGCAATTGGCTCTCTCAATCATTGGACAAAATGCAGACATTAATGAATACTTCAAACCCATCTTCTGTGAGAGGGTAGTACTTCTCGGTTGACCCAATACATGGTCGAGCCGTAGTAACTTGACGACAGCTAGGCTCTAGCAAATTTTAAACTTCGAAAATCGAGTGCATCAGTTATGTTGTAAAAAAAATCTGAGTTTCATTGCTGTATTTTGGAGGTAGAACGCAATTCCGAAACGGTAGGAAATTGAGTCTCTTTGTAAACAGTATTTATAACTTATAAAACGTTTTGTCCCTTAATTTTTATTTTATGTTTCTTTTAAATATATCAGTAGTTATAGTAGTTAATTTATTTATTGAGACATAAATGTCTCAATAAATAAATTAAAAAAAACAAAACAGGGTTTGATGTAGAGTTAAACCTTATTAATAGTCATACTTTTGTTTCCTTTCCTTGATGTCAGGCAGGCGGCCGGTCGAAAAACAATTAGCCAAAACTATTTACAACATGTAAGGTAGTCCCTGGCTAAAGCTGAGAAATTGCCAAGAAGAAATTATAAGGTGCTTATTGATAAGGTTTCCTTAGATTTCTATAAATGTTAGCCTTTTTTATAAAAATAATTTAATGTAAAAATTAGTAAATAATAAAGAATGTTTGAATTTCAAAAATCAATATCATCAGCATTCATATTTATGGCATAAGAATATGATGGCCAAAATGAATTTTTATTATACCACCTTTATTCAAACATTGCGTTTTCACAAACCAAAATAAAGAGCAGTTTCTTTTTTAAGTATTTTTAATGAATCAATATTTCTTTTAATTTCTTTAAATTAGAAATGACAATACAGCAAAAAATATACAATAACTGTCTATTTTTTTACGTTTTATGTCATATTTGTTCTTCCCACCAAAATTATAATTATGAAATATAATTTTGACAGTAAAATAATTATTTGTAGGAAAAAAACCTTCGAGTGATAGGAATTGTGCATAGATTTCATTTCATGGAGTCAAAAATTACATAGATAGTGTTGATGAGACTTATAGCTGAAAATCTTTCAATTTGATTCAAACACAGTCATTTTCATATATATGTAATACGTAAAATAAAATAAAAAACAGAGTCAAATAAATATTTAAATATTCTCATTCTAATTTTTTTCTAATGAGACACTAGACATTTTTTATAATATAATTTTACAAACGTAGTGGTTTGGATGTCGATGTTTTGAGAGCACCTTCACGCAAGAAAACACGAAGTTTACAATTTGCATAAGCGCTACACTTATTGACTTTATTTTGTACTGTGAATATATTAGGGTCAATGGTCCCCGAAGCTCCTTTAATGTGTACATACTTTTCAAGTTGACCAGTCACTGACGAACATAAACTGATAGTTTTTATAAGAAGTGTCTGAAACATGATTTATTATTTGTATACCATATAGTAATAAAGTAACACCTTAAAAATGTATTTTAATTCAACTCAATTGTTTAGAAACTTACAATTCCGAAAGGTTCTCTTCCCAGAAGGTTCAAGGAAGATGTGGTCATTATAAGCACAGTATAAAATATAAACATTTCAAATGTCACTGCACAAAAAATTTCTTATACTGCAGGCCTTCTTGGGTATTACTAATATTTAAAGAAATTAAACAATCTTTGTTTATTTTATGGTCAAGTTGAGTAGATTATGATTTTTTATTAGTTCTTTATAACATAGAGCACTTTTTTTTATTGATGAAGACACTTTTAAGAAATTTTCAGTACAAACGGAAACCTTTTTCTGCTCTTGATACAAGTGGTCGTTTTAGCTTGATTTTCAATTATATAATAAAATTATATAACGATGTCTTGGAGCAATAAATAACTTTAGTTTTTTTTAAAATATTAATACGTTACATTATCAGTTTTTTAAAGTATCGTTATAATTATATCTTAGTATTAATAAGTTATATATTGGGCGTTTGTGTAAATTTTAAAATAAAATTCAATTAATCAATATAATTTGAATCTTTATTTTTATATATAATGTAATTATAGAGGTAAACCGAAATAAAAGAAAATATAAATCTTTATAATCTCCCTATACATACATATATACAAGACAAGTAAGAGAAACGGCAGTTGATATAGCCTTTACAATATTTTTAAAATGAATGAACTATTTTTCTGATTCTACATTAAATAGTTGTATTAAATTATAATTATTTTAACACGTCACTAGTATTACTTTTTGTAGAACAAGAAATTTATACAACTTTACAGTTCACTTATGTAATGGTGTTATATTATTATTTCCCGTATACATTATTATTGATGAATAAAAACGGATAATGAAAATCGAATCTATGTCAACGAAAATAAATTGATTTTTTGAGATAAACTTAATTTTTTTAAAATGAAATTATGTGGGTTCACGATTTTAATAATAATTGATGGAATATATGGTGCCTATTTTATTTTTAGACTAAAAATATTTTTTATAAACAACAGGTTTTACAAACTGTGTTATTTTTAAATGTTTATTTAAACTTTAACCTTGACTTGACATGACAGATTGTTTACAATTTCAAGAAACATGCAAACACATTAAGAATAAAAAATTATAAGAAAGATTGATGGCTAGAATTTTAATAAAAATATATTAAAAGAAACGATAACGAGGAACATCTTAATGCATCAAGTGAAAGTGGTTAGTTGGTGAAAGCAATTGGTATATGTAGTTTTCATTGAATTGTTTAAAAAGAAATTTTACAAAAAGCAAAAAATAATAATTTGACATTATAATTATAATAATTTATTATTAAAAATGTGGATATTAAGTAATTATTATGAAAATCCTGCAATAAATAATTATTTATCATTTAAAAACTCGAGCTATACATCTAGCTACATGCGAACAGCTTTTTGTAACATTTGTTTTTGTAACATCTGTTACTGTAACATTTGTTTTTGTAACATCGGTTACTGTAACATTTGTAACTGTAACATTAGTAACTTCAGAGGGGATCGTAGCATTTGTGACTTGCTCAGTAGGAGGAATGGTTTGTTCTTCTGATTTGGGAAAAACATCTTCTGAAAGCTTCCAGTATGCTTCGGTACTAGTAGTTCTTCTGGCCGCTATTGGTAAAGGTTTATACAAAACTCCAAACAAAATGAACTAGAAAGAATATAACGTGTAAGTAAATAAAGACATGAAGACGTAAACTATTTTTTTTATAATATGCACACATACAGCTCATATTCCGTCAAACGAACAGATTTTGAACTAAGTTCATAATTACATAATCAGAACACCTACGATTCCCAATGGTCCAGCGAGCGTGAGGATTTGCAACACAATTGTGATTAGCAGCACGGTATGTATATGCATTTTAGATTCCACTAAAATTGCATTCTCTCTTTGATGGTATTTCTGAAATACGCTTTTGTTATGTGTCCTGAACACAACAAACTTGCAATCATAGTGTTTATGTCATGCTCTTTGAGCGCAAAACGTTCCATAATCTAAATTTGATCTAGTATATTTCTTTGTTTAATAAGTTTATTAGATTGTGGTTTGTGTGAAATTATTCAGCAGCCTATTTTTAAACTAATAAAAGGTTATGGTTTAAATAAATTCAATTTATTGCAGAACCATCCCTGTCCATGACGCGTCGAAACAGAGATCGATCGAAAACTAACAGTTCGAGTTTCATAGCCACATAAATTTGCTTAAATTATCGTGAATTGTTTGCGAATGTTTTTAACGCGATGACACCGCTAATACCGGATATTAGCGCTATGTTTGCGGTTTTTGTCATATCAAATATATCATTTATAAATTGTATGGTAAAGATTATTTATAGGGACGTTTTAATGTGGATTTTTCATCTAAATATTAACTAAACAAGTAATATTTGTGAAAAACAAGAGAGCACTGTAGATTATTATTCGAATGAGTCAACAAGCGTTGTTTAGACGGGATTCATCCTTTTAATAGTCATTAATATGTTTTTATCACTACATTCTAATTTGATAATTTCAAGACATTAAAAAATCAAAAATACCAAACCAGCCCAGAGGAGATGAGATGAGATGAGGAGATAAAATTATAGTAAAAAGTTTCCTTTTTGTATTACCTCCTTCTCATTTAAGGTATCTTTA